TTGTAAATGTGGTCGCCGGAATATGTTTTTGGTAGTGTATGTCTTATATTTAAGAAAAAACCGACAAATAACCGAAAAAACCGGAAAACCGACAAAAACCGAATCGAGAAAAAACCGACTTAATTGGTTTGGTTTGGTTCTAATATTTAAAAAACCGACTTACTTGGTTTGGTTTTTTTTTAAGGAAAAGCCGATCCAAACCAAACCATGAACACCCCTAGCGACCGCAGTGGTCGGAAAAAAATTGAATTTCTATTACTTATTTTAAAAAGAAAAATCGACTATTATTCCGACAAAGACAGTGGGAAAACAGCGCGCCAATTTCCCGCCTTCACTTTTGCGACCGATTCAGTCGGACATTAAAAAGTTAAAAATATCAGGTTACCCACTAAGCGACTGTGTCGGTAACAAAACTAAAATAAAAATGATAAAAGAATATTAATTGATTTTGCGACTAAGATGGTCAGTAATATTAATTTAACATTTAACAACATAACCCTATTTTCCCAATTTCATTTATCTCTCTCTCTCTGCTCTCGACCGCGTCTCTCTCTGCTCGACGGTTCTTCAATCTCTCATCCCAGGTAAATCACTAATCACTCACTAAGTTTTTATATCTCAAATCCATCAGTTGAATTCAGGGGTTTCTCAAATTCATTTTTCCATTAGTTGCAAATTTGGGGGTTTCTCTTTTGAGGTCACAAAACCCAATTTCTTTGCTGAAATTCGAGGTTTGTTTGATCAAATCCCTCACGCTTCATTTATTTGTGGTTTTTCTTGTTTTGTTCCGTGTTTTTGAGTTGTTAAGTTGTTGTGTATTTCTCCGTACTGTATTTCTGTTTCACTTATATTTCAGTATCTTCTATTTGCTTTGATTTTCTATCTTCCAAATAAGAGGAGCTTTTTATAATATTCAATATGTAAGAAGAGAAAAGTTTCAGTTGAGTGAATAAATTATCGTCTAAATTGGTGTAAACTATTGTCTAAATTGTTATCTCCTAAATCCTGCTCGTAATATGATATTTGGCAAGTCTCACTTTATTAATTTTTGAAGTTCAATTATATATCAGAGTTCTTCTCAAATACTCATTCGTATTCCTGAAAACTGCTAATGTTAACATCCCCCACATAATGTACTTCATGCTCTAGATATTGAGTCCTGAACATACAGAATGTAGTTATATTGGTTGAGTAAATTAATTGTTATTTTCTTTTTAGATCCTTTAAGTTGCAAGTAAAATTTAAAGATGTTACTCAAATTTCAGATTATCAGGAAAGTTTATAGGTCTTATTTGGTACTTTTTGTTATTGGGTAGGTTGTTTTGGAAGGATAGGTTGTTTTTGCTTCAGTTCTTTGTTTCCTTTGTTCATTCGTCATTTCGCTTGGAGGAGTCGTGCTTTACTAATTTCTTTCAAAATCCTTTAGTTAATTAATTTATTTATTTTTTCAAAAAAATTATCTTACATTTTTGTTTGGTTCTTGATTACAAAATCCTTTATCCACTTATATTTTTGTTTAGACTTTGTAATATTTACACTTGACTATGATTGTAATATTTTAGACTAGATTGAATGGTGCCAGAATGTTTAACTCTTTTTGGATGTTTTAGTTACAAATATTTACGTTTTGCATTTTATGGATTTGATTAGTTGCAATGGTGGATTAATTAGTTAGCATGGTAGATTAATTGGTTGTTGTATATTTGAATTGGTAGGTGGTATTGCTTTAAAAGAGCTGGAATTTGGCAAAAAATTGCCAGTTTTCCGACTTCTTTCCAACCATAGTAGTCGCAAAATACATTAAAATATTTCAGATTCAGGAACATCTGTGACTACTGTAGTCGGAAATACGAATAAATAAATAGTTTTAAATTAGATTTGCGACCACGGTAGTCAGAACAATAAATAAATACATAATTTTAAATCAGATTTGCGACCACAGTAGTGGGAAAACTCAAATAAAATTAAATGTTATTATAATTATATATAGTGTTTGCACCGAAGTACTGGGAAAATTAATATAAAATTAAAATTTAATTTAACCTGTTTACGACCGCGTCAGTCAGAAACTTACCGCATTTATTAGTCGTTTTCTTTTTCGCCTTAGCGACCGCTGTAGTCGCAAATTACGGACGGATTCAGTCGCAAACTATTTCAGACCAGCTATTTTGCAACTACGACTTTTAGGTCTGAAAGTAGTCAGAAATTAGCATTTTCTGACCGTTTTTGCAGTCGCAAAATAGCCATTTTCTAGTAGTGAAAGGAATGCACAATTTAATTTATCCAATGCCCCTTGCCCTTACTTTTGAGAGAATAGATAGCAGGAAGAAAAAAAGAAAGTACACAGTACATGTTTTATTATAAGAAGGGAAATGAAAATTTTCAACTGTCATCATCAATCACATAGCTAAAAGGTTCTCTTTTATTTTTTTTAGTAAAAATCTTGTACCGTACTTTTTTAACTATACAATAGTCAATAATTTTGTTGAGAAAGATTAACAATAAAAACTGCATTATTAATAAATAAAAAAATGGGGCCTCAAAAGCTGGGGGCTTGCTGGAAATCTTCCTTAATTAATATTCTCATCAAATTCGTACCTATTAATTAACAAATGAATAGCAATTAGTAAGATTATTTGGAAAAGTGGTAATTAATCTGTTACAAATTACAACATATAAAAAAAAAGAAACAAAATTTGGAAACTTTACAACTTAGTTTGTCGGCCCTAAAAACCTTGTAACTCAAGAAACACGTAATCATATGTTGATACGGAAAAGGAAAACAAAGTAACTCGTAGTAATATATAAGGAAAGCAATATCAGAAAGTTACCAAAAATCAAAAACCAGGTTATCACTTAGTATTGAGAGCAAGAGAACAATTGATTCAATGGCGGCGATTAGCGATCCAATAATGTGGACGAGAGGCAAAACCATCGGAAGAGGCAGTTTTGGTATCGTCACTTTAGCAACGACAACAAACTCCTCCGTTGATATTCCATCGACAATCGCAGTAAAATCTGCCTTGTTTTGGCGTTCAAAGTCGTTACAGAAAGAGAGAGAATTACTACACGAGTTTCAAGATTGTGATCAGGTTATTCGATGTTTCGGAGCTGATGTTACTGAAGAAGGTGGAAAGATATTGTACAACATGTTGCTCGAGTACGCGTCTGGTGGAAGTTTAGCTGATCGGATTGGTCAAAATTTGGGGCAACGGTTGCGGGATTTTGAGGTAAAGCAGTACGCGAAATCGATTCTGTTGGGGCTTAGTGATATTCATGGAAGAGGTTTCGTTCACCTTGACATTAAACCGGATAACATTCTTCTTGTGGGTACCGAAAAAGTTGCCAAAATTGCTGATTTCGGGTTCGCGAAGAAGTTTGGAGTACTAAAGAGTCAGAAAAGAAAGCGCGGACTCAAGGGAACGCCTATGTACATGGCGCCAGAATCAGTTCTTGATAACGAGTACGGACCTGAAGCTGATATTTGGGCTTTCGGGTGCACTGATGGTTACAGGGAAGACAGTTTGGGATTGCAATGAAGCTGACGATATTGTTTATCTGTTATGCAAAATTGATTTGCAGAACGAAAGATTGTCAAAAGAGGCTGAAGATTTTCTGAAAAAGTGTCTTGTTAAGGAGCCGAGATCGCGATGGACTGCTGATATGCTATTGAAGCATCCGTTTCTTTTATCCGATAATGTTGTTGTTCGTGAGCAGACAAGGAAAAAGGAACTCAACCCACTTTTGTTTATTGAAATAGCAAGAGAAAGTGATCCATTGATTGATGATTTTTGCAATAGTGCAAAGCTGAAACCAATGAAGCTGTTGAATTGCAGATCCAACAAAAGAAGAAAGCTACTAGAAGGATGCTGATTTTCAATTTTGATTAGAATTTTACAAATGTAAAGAATTATACTAATGTAAAGAACTACGTTTGGGCTTGATCCCGTTAGGAGTTTAGTTGGGGGTACGTAGGCAGCCTGTAATCAAGAAAAAGATGATCAGGTCCAGCCCCTTGTATTAAACAAAAACAATTGTGTGTTGGTTCTCTTTATAAATTGAGATGGAACAAGAGATTTTTTTACTGAAAAAAATTGCTTACATATTGATAGGTACGTACATTTATGATCCTAAACTGTACAAGTTCCCATATCCTGAATCATTCTTTCCAAAAACTTGTAAAAACACAGCATATAGCTGTAAACTGAATATTGGAAACTGCAGGTTCAAATAATGCCCCTTGGCCTTTAAATTGGAGTGGGGCGGGGGTGGGGGCGATATTTTGCTGGCATTATCACTTTATTATAATGGACTATGTCCTTCAACGGTGAAAAATAGCCCTAAAGTATGATTTTCCGGAGGTGGTATTTCTCAACTAATCAATCAGACATGAATCATGCTCGTTCGACAGGGTCTCTGGCTCCACCAATTGACATTCCAAGCCTCTAATGCCTCTATTATCCTTTTATTCTTCGTTTCGGACTCACTAGCATCTCAGATATTGAGTAGTGATTCTTAACTAGAAGGTGTTCTATATATATAAGAAATTATGGGAGACTAGGGTTCGAGTCCCAGCACAGACAAAATACACTAGATAATTTCATCCCATTTGTCTAAGTTGTGGTGGGCAAAGTTACCTACTTAATGTGCTAGTTGGACGTAGCTGCTGGTAACCAGTGGGATAGTCGAAGTGTGCGAGTTGGTCTGTATACCATCGTTATAATAAATAAGTAAATATATAGAAAACATTTCCTCAGCTTATGACTTATGTTGTTCTCTGCTGTTTGACAGATTGCTATTGAGAAAAAATAGCATGATGGTTATTGACTAGCATTATTTGGAAGATGTAGAATCAACAAGATAGGTAGGACGAACTCCTTATAATGTACACATATAGTAAGATTACACCCATTCTGAACCCACAACTCTACATCTTAGATTCGCCTATATGCTAATAGTAAACTCCAATTTCAAGAGCATAAACTAAAAACATAACAAGATAACTCCAACCATCCGTAAACTAAAACAGCACAATGTTAATCAATGATATTCTTGCACTTTCTCAGTATAACACATAAAAAATACATACAGGGATGAGGATTTACCTGCATATAATATATAAAGTACAAAAGAGAAGATGAAAATCCACTAGTAACATCAAACAGGCATATCTAATTGCTTTGACCATCTAGCAATGGAAAGGCCAGTTTTAACTAGCAATGTTCTCTGTGTTATTTGCTCAAATCTTTGCACACTTGATCAAGGATAGAGAGGAAGTCGCTAACTACCATAAATATCCTAATAGGTCGAGCTTCTTCCTTGGCCGCGTCACCATAGAAATATTCTGTTAGCTCCTTTACCATGGATAAAGCAACATCCTCTTGAGCTTGTATATTGATAATTTCTTCCTCTGCCTTCTTCAAAAATCCATTCATCGACTCGAAAAACTTTCTGCTACTTTCACTCAAAACCAACTCTTCGTTTAGCTTTAGGACATTAGTAATTTTTGTAACTCCAGTTGCTAGTTTTGCAACTTCATTGCTAAGAATATCAGTGTCCATAACAGCTGCTTTCTTCACATTGGCAAGATCATGGCTCAAGACAGAAAAAACCTCAAGGACAATTTTTTTAAACTCAGCCTCATCGCGAACGACTGATTGCTGGTTTTTTTGCACATTTGGAGTTAGATCAGCAACAGAAAGATGAGAACCTTCTGCTCTAATAGTTTCATGAAGAACAAAATGCAAAAGGGTTGTCTTCCCATCAGCACCTTTGATATCTACAAGCTTAAGAAGCGTGTCGAGCTTGAAGGCACGAGCATCTCCTCTGTTGGTTCCAACGTTCATGCGGTTACCAGTTCTGAGTACAGCTTCTAGAAGCTTTAAGAATATCCTACTATTCCTTAATTCTCCACATGCATTCTGCAATGGCATAAACAGAAGGTTTGAGATACCAATCTGTTTGATAACTAGACTTGTGTGCCAGTGCATATATCAGATCAGCAGAATTGCTGCATTTACATATAGGAATAATAGCAACATTCATATGAAATTTGAGATAAAACTTGTTAAAATCCCATTAGCAGTTGAAAATGTTCTAAACCAAAAGCAATCCCATACCTCTAGCGTCTGAAATGATGTCCTAAGGTATTCAACGTCTGAATCAAAACAACATATGTAAAGCATTGCATCCACCCTCTTGAATGCAAAAGGTATATCAAGAACTCCCTTGAGAAATTTCTCAGCAGGGCCTAGTTTGAATGATAATTCGTCTTTGAAAACCTTCAGCTTCCGCTCTTCTTCTTTTGTAGGAGCCATCTTTATTAGACTCTCCAGTAGCTCCGCTCCCAGTATGTCAGCGTCACCTGGTTTTTGTTTTGTTACAAAGAAGATGCATAACTAGCCACTTAAATTAAACATCATTTCATATGGAAATGCACACGCATGTTGCAGCGGTGCTCCAATCAGAAATGGCAGAAATAGGACACCATAAGGGGTGGTCTTTGAACTTTTGATCTTCGGGGCAGGTCACCTGACCAATTCACAAACCTTCAAGGTCAAAAGTCAAAAGTTTTGCCCATTGGCCAGACGACCTACCCCAAAAGTCAAAAGTTCAAGGTCAGCTCTTTTCAAGGTCATTTGTATCATTGACCTTGCACCAGTGACCGTGCACCATGCACCGTGTGCCTATGTCCGTGCACCAATGCACCTGTGCATGCTGCACATGCATTGTGGCGTATTGCATGGTGCACGGTCACATGTTTTTATAATGATTTCCTTTTTATTATAGGTAAATATTCATCAAAGTTCATTCATAAACATGAAAGTGACATCCCAATGAAATAGTAGCTGTGTCTCAATATATGGATGATGGCCACATCTTGATAGAACCAGAATTAAATGTCACCACGTTATAGTGCCAAATTTGCTTTTCATTCATTTAAAAACTAGAATGTGAAACCACCAAAGGCAGAATATAGGACCACAAAATCATGTTCCTTCCTTCTGGAAAAATACCATAAAAAGGCTTTGATATTTTTATTTCATTAACAAGTTATCATAATCTGAATAAGCTATCTGATTAAGTGCAATACAAAAGGAGTCTCAAATTACTAATTTGGGAACATTTCTGAGTATGTCTAAAAGCAAAAATCTATTTATGTACCTTCTAAAAGTGCTTCACAAACTTCATCACTAGTGATCTGAAGTGCCCTCAACAAAATTGCAATATTCTGAGACTTCTTCAAATCAAGCACCTGGCTCTCTTGATTCATTACAGGTATCATTGGGCGCCTTACGACATCTTTTGAATTCAAATTTGATGAATTTACAGTGAATAATGTTTCAATCATTTCCTCATTTAACCTACAACCAAAACCACACTTCAAAATTAGGCAAGTATATAGCTCAGATTAAGTATTTCAAATGATGTAAATCTTACTGGAAAGTGCTAGAATTCAGTTGATCCCAAACCATTGCTCTATCTGAACTGGCCCTGACTTTATCCCAATGCAAAGGCTTTAGCTTTGGCTTCATACTTTCCTCATTCCTCCTTTCAACAGCTTCTGAGCTTTCAGAATTTCCATTAGCTTTCTTGATTAAAAATGGCATTGATCGCCCACAATGTTCGACTACTAGAGGTTCTGTGACTGTTGAACCTTCCCAGAACCTCGGCCTAGGTGGCAGTGGTGGTGGCGGTGGTAATTTTATCGATACATACCTCCCTGAATTGCTGAATTTCCTCATAGAAGACTCTGGAATTTGGACTGAGGAATTTGAAACTCGAGGAGGGGAGTTTCGAGTACTTCCAGAAGATAACGAAGACGATGAAACTGATCCTTGTTCCACTGGTGGAAGAATAAACCTCAAATTCAATTTTCCAGGACTATTGGATAATGAATCATTTGAAGAATTGGAATTCGGATATGCATTCAGGTTATGGAAATAACCTTCAAAATGTGCATAGGGACTCTTTTCCAAGAAAGTGGAACTACCTATATCCCCAGATGATCCTCCGGGGGAGAAGAATTCTTGCTCCTCGGCATATTCAGGTGATCCTACTGAATCAGCATTTTTATGATTTTGTTTGAAATTTTGACGTGGCAATGGAGGGAGAGGATGGAGTTCTGGTGATCTTAACATTTGGAAGTGTAGTGTAACACTGTCATTTGTTGCTGTGGAAGATTGAGCACCATCTTCATTGACTTTTCTAGAATTCTCAAGTGTGTAAAGATAATGTGCACTGCCAATTTCCGCATGAGAGGGGGTTGCATTAGGTGAAACAAGGCGACGACTATCACTTCTCTCGTGATCGTAGCTTTTGTCTTCGCGGTGAGGGTGGCGATGAAGGAAGAAAAAGAGGACAAGAGCAGTGACGAATGCAAAAGAGAGGACGGAGACAGAGACGAGAATGGCAATGAATTTGCTGGTGATGGAACTTTTAGAGGAATGCGAGGAGTGTGGTAGAATGAGAGAGGAAATGTTAGCAGGGAAAGTAGCAAGATCTTTGGAAGTTGTTGGAGGAGGAGGAGGAGGAAAAAGCGTGAAAAATGGATGATCAAATTGAGGAGAAGGAAATGGAGGTTTAGTGTTAATGGATGGAATTGAAGTTGGCGCGAGAGGACGATGAAAGGGGAAAAGCGGTTGGTGGAGAAGCCGACGATGGTGGTGGATATTAGTGGCAGTGGCAGTAGTAGAGAAGGTGAAAATGAAGAAGGTGAAGATTAGAATGAGGCTGAATAGCGAAGAGTAGTGCATTGTCAGTTGTGAATTGTGGCTGGAAAATTCTCATTGAACTCTCACTTAAAACTATCAAACAGAATGAAGATGGGCAATTTGATAACAGTGGGGACATTATATTAATTACATAGACACTGGGGGGTAATAAGGAGTTGGATGAGATTGAGAGGTGTAAATGCTATGGTCTTTGAAGAGTGGTAACTAGCAAGTGCAAAAGAGGCATTGGATGGATGGTGGGGTGCAAGGTAAATAGTGGTTGATTCAGAATTTAAACCTAAACCATTATGTATTTACGCACACGTGTCTGTGGCCGAGCCCGTGAAAAATACTAGGACGAAATTAAATTTTGAACTCTTATTTTAAAAAAACTAGTGGAACCAGAAATTTACACAAGAGAATTCAAAAAACTTTTAGGATGTCACACTTGAGATTTAAATCTCTGTCTTAAAGCAACTTTAGAACCCCTTCACTATAATACTTGAATTTTTCTTCATGTCAAGAGGATTCAACATCTCATATACGAAAAAATCATTTTTACCCTATTTACATAGTATAATTTTATAACGGAGGAGGTTTGGTCCCCTTCATACTGCTTAGTTCCGGCCCTGTATATACACGCATCGATATCTATGCTTTGACTAAAAATAATGTGTTTAACTGAACTCACTCTCTACACTTTAGGTCCGCCTCTAAATTGGTAAGGAATTAATGTTCTTGAAGAGTAGAAGTAGTGCACTACTAGAAATCAGGTGATTTCCGTCCAAAGCTTTCCGACCGAAATCGGTCGGAAAAAATAAGAGTATTTGGTCGCAAAAATTCAACAAAAATTACATGCCAGCAAAAAAATAATATTTTCGACCGACTTCGGTCGGAAATTGGTCAAATATTTGGTCACACCTGCATATTATGTACAAAAATATTATTTATTAAAAATTTATCAAATTCCGACCGAATTCGGTCGGAAATTAGTCAACTATTTGGTCAAACGTACAAAAATAATTATTTATTAAAAATTTACCAAATTTTGACCGAATTCGGTCGGAAATTGGTCAACTATTCAGCCTCCGCAGTATATAATGTACAAAAAAAATTATTTATCAAAAATTTACTAAATTGGCAACCGAGTTCGGTCGGAAATTGGTGTCATACTTTTATATAATTTAAAAAATAATTTTTTATTAAATTTTTTTCAAATTTCCGACCGAATTCGGTTGGAAAGTTTATATTTTTTGTTTCCCGCCCAAGACAGAAATTATATATATTTAATTAACCAACCAAAATAATTATAACTCAATAGTTTCGACCGAATTCGGTCGGAAAAACGCTTTTATATAAATTAAAATATAAATTTAATAATATTTATGTGTGTAAATAATAAAGGGGGTTTAAATAAATAATATTTAACACACACACACACACACACACACACACACACACACACACACACACACACATATATATATATATATATATATATATATATAGTATAATGTAGTATTTATACTAACTGTATAGTATATACATCTTAATATAGCTTATATACTACACATTATACTATACTACATATATATAGACATCTTAATATAGCTAATGTTATATCGAATATGTTTAAACTCTTTCACCACAGAAGCTTGTCACCTGCAGCTTCATGTTGTATTTTTTATTCTATGTTTCTCTCAAGGATCTAGTTACTTAAAATTCCTATCTCTTAAATTGCACACTGCTTTTACAATAAAATGCGAGTATAGCTACAACTTTCGTTAACATGTTTATTATATTTGTAGGAAAAAAAATTGGGGAGGAAGATGAGTCATGATGAGTTCTACATGGAGACTCACATCCGGAAGAAGAAGGCACCGACAGATCCAACTAAATGGGTTGAGGACCGGGCAGAGACTACACATGTAAGTTTCATAACTACTATAAATGTTTATAATATTATATAGTTAGTAATTTTCTATCTTCTAAATAAAGGGACGCTACAAGATCAATTTGGAGGAGTACACTCAGAGCTTGCCACCGAATGAGCAAGGCGAGCGACCGCCCATTTCAGACGAAGAAGAGGAGAAGATATGGTTGGATACTGTCGATGGTCCTAAAAAGGGGATAGCATACGACCTTTCAGATAAATCGTTTCGGCGCTACAGGGCTGGATTGCAAGGTATAGGGACTTCCGCCCAAGGCGAGGCGATTGATAGTTCGACTATATCGTCTATGGAACAGAAGATCGCAAAGCTGACAATAGAGCTTGAAGAGACCAAGGCTAGAGAAAAGAAGAGATTTGATACCCTTCAAGTTCAGCTAGAAAGGAGGGACAAACAATTTGATCTTCTTCAAGGTCAGCTGGCGGATCTTCTTGCTAGTGGTGCTTTCCCCATTCCCCGGTCTCCTCCTCCTTCCCCACCTGCCGGTGATAAAGGTCCTAGGACCGAAGATGGAGATGATGCTACATAAAAAACTCATTGAATGTTGTCTATTGTTAAACAAAGTTGTGAACTTGTCAATATTTTGTTGTTGTTGGTTATTTGAATGATGATTATATTGTTATTTTGTTATTGAACATTTTAGTAGTTGTTGTTGTGGTTATTAGTTGTTGTGGTTGTGGTTATTAGTTGTTGGTTAATTGTTGTTGTTGGTTATTTGTTGTTGTTGGTGGTTATTAGTTGTTATTTTGTTGGGTTTTCATGGTTGAATGGCAGCAATGTAAGCTGCCAATATTATAGGATGTATATTGGTTTAAATTGGCAGGTGGTGTAGCTTAAAAGCAGCCATCTTCTGCCCAGTTTTTACCCAGATTTCCGACCGAATTCAGTCGGAAATTATGAATTTATATTTATTTTTAAAATAAATTAACAATTTACAAATAATTATTTAATTAAATAGTATTATTATTTTTTAAAGTTTCCGACCGAACTCGGTCGGAAATTTGAAAATTAAAGAAATTTTTTTTATAATTTCCGATCGATTTCGGTCGGAAAATAAAGTTTGAATGGCAGTCAACGCATTGAATTTTCGACCGATTTCGGTCGAAAATTTTCGACCAATTGCGGTCGGCCTACGTTTGCAACCATTATTTTTCCATCCAATTAAAAACGATCGGAATTTGGTCGGAAATTATCAATTTCCTACCGATTTCGGTCGGAAATGGTGGACGAAAATCACCTGATTTCGAGTAGCGGTGGTGGTAGTGGTGGGGGGGGGGAGGGTTATTTGGGGTTGGGGTTATTACTTTGAGGAGAGGCAAGTACTTGAACAAAGTCTTGATCATATGAATAGCAGTAGAACGAGTATGGAGATGGCGGAGTAATGGTGCAGGGCGGTGCACACACAAGAAGAAGCTAGTTGCGGGCTTCGGTTGCCATAATACTCTAACAATGTGGGTGGCACACAGTGAATCTCGAAAATTGACCCGTGGATCGTGGTAGTGGGCCACGTGGAACTTAGTTCGAGGGGGAGATTGTTGGGTGTGCGAACAAAGTCCCACATTGGTAGCTGAAAAGATTGGGAGTCTACATATAAGTTGTAGGGATCTCTTAATGGTGTGAGGCCTTTTAGGGAAAACCGTGCGGGCTTGGCCCAAAGCGGACAATATCACACCATGTTAAGAGTGTCATTGGGCCGTTTTAGCCCAACAGAGTTATTATTTAGTCTATGCACTAAGTCCGCCTCTGGCTACAGTATGAGAAGACTTATTTATCTTCAAGAAAGAAGTAGATATTCTTTTCCTCCAGCTTACATATTGATGATGTAATCGGACCAAATTGTATAATATTGGAGTATTACGTGAACATGAGATGAACAATACGAATGCGACGTAAATTCATAAATGCACTAAAGGTATTATTATATAAATACCCACTTGATTTAGTTAAGTGGGGCAAGCATACTAATCGACCAGAAGAACAATTAAATTACGCTTTGTTTCCATGACTTAGACTTAGTCCAATGAACAAAAGCTGTAAAAGCTACGTGCCCGTTGAATTAATTATGTGCATATGTGATATCAAGGTCTCCTAAAATCAAATCAGAAATGTGATTGTTCTTGAAGGAGATAAGGTAAAAATAAAACTCAAGGCGTAAAACAAAGTGGCTGTCAATCAAGTACGAAGTATTAGAGCTAATTATGATGAACCACTTACAATTTGGGTTCTGGAACAGCTCGTCGAAAATGAAATAAAGTAGTATATCTTTTCTCACTGCCTAATTAAAATATCAGTGACACCCATTATAAAAAAGAATCTTTGTATGATTGAGTCGTGAAAAGAATCAAGCTTGGTCGCACGTAAATAGATATAATTAAGTAAATAAAAATATGTTTGTAGAATAAATTACCTGAAGGTAGAAGGGTCATTGGAGATGGTTTTGGAGCGTTGAGAAAGCAAATGAGGATTGGCTTCCAAGAGAATATACTCGAGATCACCTTTATCCCCATTGAAGCCAATATTTTTGCAAGCATACCCAAACGGAGTTGCAGGTCCAGCACGTCGTTTCTGAGAAACGGGACATGAAAAGAAGTCGACGGCTTCCCTTTCCATTCTTGCAATAACCTTCTTGGGAACACCGTGGTTTGTTAACTTGAAAAAACCGTAATCTTCACATGCTTTCACTATCATCTCAGACGCCTTGGACTTCTCACACAAGTCAATTGTTGGAATGCCCAAACCTGTGGTTTTCTTGTTACCACGCCTCAGCGTATTTGGAGTTGCCACTACCATGTTAGGAAGAGAACTAGAATTAATGTGTGGTATATATATATATATATATATATATATATTGTGAACTTAATTAATTAGCTGCCTTTGGAAGAGTGATACTGTGGATCGGAAGAGTTTGCTAGAATGCTCTATTGCTCTAAGCTCTCTCGGACACGCCTATAAATAGATGGAAACGAGGGAATTAAGAGAGGGACCCTAGAAAGGGTAATAAAGGACTAAAAAAAGAGACGAACAATAAAGGGTGAGGTGGGGGCCGTATGACTAGGAGAAGGGAGCGTGGGGGTGTTGCCACGACCTTTGACAAAACTTTATTTACTACTCCACTATTATTTTTTTTTTTAATTTTTTTAATGTGGTCCGCAGCAAAATTAAACTTGTACTTAACTTTGATGTATTTCTAGGCAAACTTTAATTTGTTCAAGACAAGGGAAAAAGGTTCAGCCCAACACCCATATAAGTGAACTTAGAAGAAAATGGTATCGCACGTGTATCAAACAGACTAAATAGCAGTCTATTGCTTTGAAAATGAAAAAAATGCATATCGTCCATGTTCCAATACCAACAGGAGGAAAGTTTGAAGTTAGCACCCTAACAATATTTAGATAAGGAAATTGGAGAAACTTCTGGTCATGAATCAAGTATTATATATCATTTTAGATTAATCAAAACAGTGAATTTCATATATTGAATGGTTAAATAAGAAAATATTGGATTTCGTCGCACCAAATCTCATCTCTCTATAATCTAATTTTATTAGCGACATAGTTAAGGGTGGAGCTAGAGCATAGGTAGTATGGAAAGTCCAAACTTTGTAGTTAATTATCCTAAGAAATTCATGAACTAAGTTCAAATCATTAGTTTAGAATGGAACCAGTAACTTAAAAGAATTAAAATTCGACATAATCTTCAAATCGTGACTACATCACTGTTTATGGTCCACCCTTAATTCAAAATGATTAAAAAAAAAATTAAGGTGTGTGGGGGAGAGGGAATAGGGGAAAATGGTGAAGGGACATGGTGATGCATAGGTAGGGGAATGGGAAGATGTATGGATGGGAAAGGGCGGCAAATGGCGGCATTAGGTGAGGGGATGACAATTAAGTTTGGGGCCAACCCCTTCTCCCCTGCATGCCTTGAGACTTTTACATTAGAGCAAATTAAAAATGTGTGCCAGCGGCCGTTTGTTTCTTCTGATTGGATTCTTGTGTTCAGCACGTTATAATTGACGCGTAATTGCTTGCTTTTTCCATGAAATTATCTACGCGGGTTTTGACTTCATACTTTTTTTCTAAATCCCTTCTTCCCTCTAAATTTCCCTCTTTATATGTCGACTAACATTAGTTTATGAGCTATTTCTTGCAAAATTTCACATACACCTTCAGATACTCGGTTTATTTAGAGCTTCTATTAAACTACTGTACGTAGCTGATAAGAATCAAAGACTAAAATCTTTTAAATGTTGAGTATGATTTTATAAATAAGCCGTTATGTATGCATATCAAATAATTGATATGTTTAATTTGATATTTCTAAACTTACGAAAAGATAATATTTGATACAAAATGGTAAATGACTTAGTTAAATCAAAAGTTCATATAAGCTTAAGCCATAATTAGTTATAACTTATGTCTTTTGACTGATTTTTGTTTATATATATTACACTTAACTTACTAAAAGCATAATAAGTCGAAAAATAATTACATTTCTTTTTTTTTTACTGTCTTTTGTTACATTCTGTAAGAAAAATGAGAATCTAATTAATTAATGAGAAACATATCTATCTGTTAAGTGTTAACCAAAAGATGTTATTAGCAAAAAAAAAAAAA